TATAAAAATTAATATAATGAACCTTTGTCCTAAAGTTGACCAAACAATAGATATAAGCCTCGCAATTTTCAAAAAAATATTTTCGATATTTCGATGCTCCAATACTTTTTCGTTTCGCATCCTAGACTAAAACACACCAGTAATTATCGGTTGTGCTCGTCAAGGAGCTATTAGAACTCCAACCAGAATAATTTTTTTCCGAGATAAATTTTCACCCCTTGGACTTGGTAAGAGTAAGATAAAAATTTTGGTCGAAATTTGTTTTTGGATTTCAGGAGTTCTGATGAGTTTTCCTATGGCCCCCCTAAGAGTTATAAAAATTAATATAATGAACCTTTGTCCTAAAGTTGACCAAACAATAGATATAAGCCTCGCAATTTTCAAAAAAATATTTTCGATATTTCGATGCTCCAAAACTTTTTCGTTTCGCATCCTAGACTAAAACACACCAGTAATTATCGGTTGTGCTCGTCAAGGAGCTATTAGAACTCCAACCAGAATAATTTTTTTCCGAGATAAATTTTCACCCCTTGGACTTGGTAAGAGTAAGATAAAAATTTTGGTCGAAATTTGTTTTTGGATTTCAGGAGTTCTGATGAGTTTTCCTATGGCCCCCCTAAGAGTTATAAAAATTAATATAATGAACCTTTGTCCTAAAGTTGACCAAACAATAGATATAAGCCTCGCAATTTTCAAAAAAATATTTTCGATATTTCGATGCTCCAATACTTTTTCGTTTCGCATCCTAGACTAAAACACACCAGTAATTATCGGTTGTACTCCTCAAGGAGCTATTAGAACTCCAACCAGAATAATTTTTTTCCGAGATAAATTTTCACCCCTTGGACTTGGTAAGAGTAAGATAAAAATTTTGGTCGAAATTTGTTTTTGGATTTCAGGAGTTCTGATGAGTTTTCCTATGGCCCCCCTAAGAGTTATAAAAATTAATATAATGAACCTTTGTCCTAAAGTTGACCAAACAATAGATATAAGCCTCGCAATTTTCAAAAAAATATTTTCGATATTTCGATGCTCCAATACTTTTTCGTTTCGCATCCTAGACTAAAACACACCAGTAATTATCGGTTGTACTCCTCAAGGAGCTATTAGAACTCCAACCAGAATAATTTTTTTCCGAGATAAATTTTCACCCCTTGGACTTGGTAAGAGTAAGATAAAAATTTTGGTCGAAATTTGTTTTTGGATTTCAGGAGTTCTGATGAGTTTTCCTATGGCCCCCCTAAGAGTTATAAAAATTAATATAATGAACCTTTGTCCTAAAGTTGACCAAACAATAGATATAAGCCTCGCAATTTTCAAAAAAATATTTTCGATATTTCGATGCTCCAATACTTTTTCGTTTCGCATCCTAGACTAAAACACACCAGTAATTATCGGTTGTGCTCGTCAAGGAGCTATTAGAACTCCAACCAGAATAATTTTTTTCCGAGATAAATTTTCACCCCTTGGACTTGGTAAGAGTAAGATAAAAATTTTGGTCGAAATTTGTTTTTGGATTTCAGGAGTTCTGATGAGTTTTCCTATGGCCCCCCTAAGAGTTATAAAAATTAATATAATGAACCTTTGTCCTAAAGTTGACCAAACAATAGATATAAGCCTCGCAATTTTCAAAAAAATATTTTCGATATTTCGATGCTCCAATACTTTTTCGTTTCGCATCCTAGACTAAAACACACCAGTAATTATCGGTTGTACTCCTCAAGGAGCTATTAGAACTCCAACCAGAATAATTTTTTTCCGAGATAAATTTTCACCCCTTGGACTTGGTAAGAGTAAGATAAAAATTTTGGTCGAAATTTGTTTTTGGATTTCAGGAGTTCTGATGAGTTTTCCTATGGCCCCCCTAAGAGTTATAAAAATTAATATAATGAACCTTTGTCCTAAAGTTGACCAAACAATAGATATAAGCCTCGCAATTTTCAAAAAAATATTTTCGATATTTCGATGCTCCAATACTTTTTCGTTTCGCATCCTAGACTAAAACACACCAGTAATTATCGGTTGTGCTCGTCAAGGAGCTATTAGAACTCCAACCAGAATAATTTTTTTCCGAGATAAATTTTCACCCCTTGGACTTAGTAAGAGTAAGATAAAAATTTTGGTCGAAATTTGTTTTTGGATTTCAGGAGTTCTGATGAGTTTTCCTATGGCCCCCCTAAGAGTTATAAAAATTAATATAATGAACCTTTGTCCTAAAGTTGACCAAACAATAGATATAAGCCTCGCAATTTTCAAAAAATATTTTCGATATTTCGATGCTCCAAAACTTTTTCGTTTCGCATCCTAGACTAAAACACACCAGTAATTATCGGTTGTGCTCGTCAAGGAGCTATTAGAACTCCAACCAGAATAATTTTTTTCCGAGATAAATTTTCACCCCTTGGACTTAGTAAGAGTAAGATAAAAATTTTAGTCGAAATTTGTTTTTGGATTTCAGGAGTTCTGATGAGTTTTCCTATGGCCCCCCTAAGAGTTATAAAAATTAATATAATGAACCTTTGTCCTAAAGTTGACCAAACAATAGATATAAGCCTCGCAATTTTCAAAAAAAATTTTTCGATATTTCGATGCTCCAAAACTTTTTCGTTTCGCATCCTAGACTAAAACACACCAGTAATTATCGGTTGTACTCCTCAAGGAGCTATTAGAACACCAATCAGAATAATTTTTTTCCGAGATAAATTTTCACCCCATTAAATTAAGATTAAAACACACCAGTAATTATCGGTTGGATTTGGTTTTGGATTTCAGGAGTTCTGATGAGTTTTCCTATGTCCTCCCCAAGAGTTATAATTGTTATCACGATGAACTTTAGTTCTAAAATTAATAATTAAAGAGTTATAAGTCTCGTAAGTTCCACAAAACGGGATTTCATTTTTTCGCAACTTTGCTTGGTATTTTCGGTTGTTTAAACAATATAAATTTTTTTTTTAATACCAGAGAACTCTGTTACTATTTGTGGGGCTATTAAAACCCACAAAATAATTTAGAAATTTTTATTTTGGGGGGGCCGCTTTTTAGGGGGGGGCTATATTAAAAAAATTTTTTAGAGTTCTGATAGCCCCCCATGGAATTGTTATAATTATCCCTTTGATGTTTAGCTCTAAAATTAATATTAAAAGTGTTATAAGACTCGTAAGTTGCACAAAACGGGATTTCCGTTTTTTCGTAACTTTGCGTGGTATTTTCGGTTGTTTAAACAATATATATTTTTTTTTAAATACCAGAGAACTCTGTAACTATTTGGGGGGCTATTAAAACCCATAAAATAATTTAGAATTTTTCGTTTTGGGGGGGGGCGCTTTTTAGGGGGGGCCTATATTTAAATTTTTTTTTAGAGTTCTGATAGCCCCCCAAGGAATTGTTATAATTATCCCTTTGAAGTTTAGCTCTAAAATTAATATTAAAGGTGTTATAAGACTCGTAAGTTGCACAAAACGGGATTTCCATTTTTTCGTAACTTTGCGTGGTATTTTCGGTTGTTTAAACAATATAAATTTTTTTTTAAATACCAGAGAACTCTGTAACTGTTTGGGGGGCTATTAAAACCCATAAAATAATTTAGAATTTTTCATTTTGGGGGGGGCGCCTTTTAGGGGGGGCCTATATTTAAATTTTTTTTTAGAGTTCTGATAGCCCCCCAAGGAATTGTTATAATTATCCCTTTGAAGTTTAGCTCTAAAATTAATATTAAAGGTGTTATAAGACTCGTAAGTTGCACAAAACGGGATTTCCGTTTTTTGCAACTTTGGATGGTATTTTCGGTGGTTTAAACAATAGAACTATTTCTAAAAAGTATAGGGAACTCTAGAACTCTTGGGGGGGCTATAAGAACTCTCAAAATTTTTTTAAAAAGTTGAGGATGGGGGGCCAACTTCACAGAGGTATTAATTGTTTTGATGTATTGTCCGCCAGCACGGGCGGATCTACGGGGGGGGCTTTCGGGCTGAAGCCCCCCCCCAAATGGAAAAATATAACCTTGTTTTATGGGGAAAAAAATTTAAAAAATACCTCTTAAAGTATTATTGTTCGTGTAATTACATTTAAAAGTACTTAAGGAGTAAATTAAACACCATTTCATATAGGTAGCTAGTTTCTTTTTGTTTTTCCAAAGTAATTATCGTTATTTTTATGAAAAAAAAGGTTTCGGGCTGAAGCCCCCCCAAAATTAAATCCTGGATCCGCTAGTGTCCGCCAGTAATATTTTACCTATCTATCTCCTAAAACTACCTATATCCTGCTTAAAGCAGAATAAGTGAAAGGTGTGCGATACGCTCATCGTCTCATCAATTAGGCTGTGTTTTATTTGTTAAAACTTTCTTCCCCTGAAAATGGCCTAACGTAAAATGGGGAAACGGTGTAGAAAAACAAATAAAGTAGGACTATGTGTTCTTACTTTATTAAAATAATTAACTTTAGATTAATAATAAAGCAACTGTATTACAGAAATATTGAATGAAATAAAATTCATATATTCCGTAGAACAAAACACCTTAAGAAATATATTTAATTCTTTTTAGGGAGGTGATGACATAGCCCGTGGGCGCCAAATGTCTTAGGCCGGAACTGGTAATATTGGTATTGTAATTAATATTGTTAAGCGACAACAATATGTATAAGACCTAAATAATATTAAAGGCTACATAATTATACATGAATACACCGAGTTTAAATCGTTAGAGCCGTTTTCAAGAAAATCGTAAAAATGTGTTTAGTCGAAGATATAAAGTGCCACTTCCGGTTAGCCGATTTTAACGAAAAAGTTGCTGTAACATCCGAGCCATATACTAACCTTAAATACACAATTTCAGTTTATAATGACTTCTTGTTTTTAAGCTAGGCTGTTCACATACACAGACAATTTTCCGGAACTTGGTTATTTTGTCTCAGAGAACCTCAAAACATATATTTTCGATGAAGATCCCGAAATGTTCACGACCGCAATACTTTCCATTACTATATATTACATATATAGATAAATGAAAGTAATAAGTTCTGAATCCGCTGCTGACCAGCTGTCACAGCGACATCAATCAGTAACAGTTATTTCAAGTAGCAGTGACTCGATAGCTGTTCCATCCCCACCAGTTCCCAACAGGGTCAAGAGACTAGTCGTGGCAAAGCTATCCTCCACTCACCATCCTCGACCAAAGATGGCCTACGGCAACCTGGCTGAGCTGCTGTCCTTCAGCAACCCCGTCTTCAGGTCCTACCTGGTCTGCAACAGCGTCCTCGTCCTCAAAGTCATGGGGATGGCGCCCCTCATCGCCCGCCATCGGTTCGCGAAAAAGGTATCGTTATTTATGTGTCATCTAAGGTATAGAATATTGTTAACATCTATGATCTAAGGTATAGAATATTGTTAACATCTATGATCTGAGGTATAAAATATTGGTAACATCTATGATCTAAGGTATAGAATATTGTTAACATCTATGATCTAAGGTTTACAATATCGGCCCGTCTTCGAAAAATAAGTCCATCTGCCCCGAGTAGTGATGGTGAGGATATCATCAGGAGGTGTAAAAAATCATCAAATTAATAACCTTAAACCACGAAGAATTTTGATAAGTTTTCTTTTCTTAAAATTTCTATCGTGCGCTTGTCCTTTTTTAGTATTTGACTATAATCAACTATTGAGCATCGAGTGTCATTTCTGACTCTGTCTTCAGTGTAATCCATGACTCAGGAGCAGTTCGTAACCACACAAGAATAAGGCCATTGCCGGCCAGCCTTGATAACCAACAGGTTTACTATACAACAACTATATTTGATATATACTAGGGTTTATGCCATTATGGTAGACATCTTGTGTTTGTTCATCAATAAATAAGGTCGAAATTCTGAACAACTTTCTCAAAAGTTCAGGTCCTGTGGTTGATGTCCAGTCGTTGGTGAAGGAACAGATGAGACCCGGTAACCGGTTGAAAAAATGGCCTATTAGGGATTGCAGTATTACTGCATCCACTTTTTCATGACTTGCGCAGAATTAAAAAAAGATCTAGAAATTCTTTGAACAGAGATTTAATCTTCCCATGAAGATTAAATTAAATTTTGATTAATTTAAAATTAAATTAAGATTAAATTTCGTCCAAGGAATAGACGGATATCGGCATCGAACTTCCGGGTTCGCTAAGTCTTACTATTACTATTATTTATAATCTTCCCCTCAGGAAATTAAATTACAGAAATTCTTTCCCATGTACTGATTTTGAACATTTAATATTATTTTTTCTTAATTGAATTTATTATTATGGCAATGAAAGGTAAAATAAGATTCCCAAAAAGTACTTCTCGACCCGGGAGTACGAATTTGGGACACAAAAGGCAGTAGCCTAACACTAACTCAATTCACCTACAAACTTTCAATCCTCTTAACCACGTTTTGTTATGGTTTACAAGTACGAAAAACCGAAAAATAAACGAAAAAAAATGCCCGTAGAGTTGACCGTTGGACGATAATCATCCAAATATTTCTGGTATTTTGCCGTAGAAAAACTGTTCCGGATTGTGGATCGAGTACAATTGTAACAGGTAATTATTTATTGTTATATCAGCCGTTGGCTCGCCCCTTCAGTTTGGTGACCATCCTGGGTCACACTCGGTCACTCTAAAGTGGTATTTTTTATTAAATAATAAACTAAATAGAAAAATCTAGCAGTTGCCCGTGATCTCGGCCAAATCACCTGCATGCACAATCACGAAGCAAGACACAGTTAGGAAGTGCTAAACCCAAGACCCTCCAAGTGTTTTAGTAAGACAAGCGTATTTTATTATTTTTTCTTCTGCCTAGCTCTTAAACTAATGGATGACAGCTTCATGAAACATTAGTGTTTATCTGAAGAAGTTAAATAGAATTTTAAAATCAATAGAACCCCTGAATTTCTTTCAAATGATATTTTTCGAACGTATATTATTTTCAATTAATTTATTTAAATGTCACAGATAGGAGAAAAAAATTGGCACCCCAAAAGTAATTGAATTCCCATATAAACCTTTAACCTTCTAAGTAAAAAAAAAAACGCTGTAAATTATTACACGGCGGTTTATTATTTTCAAACAAATGTAACATTACTTTACTTGTAACATAAAGAAAAATAAATATAAAGTAATTTCTAATATTGGCTTAAATAAATATATTTTTCATCATTAGTTTTTTGTTAAGAAAAATATACAGCATTGCTTCAGTTAATGTAACACTTTCAAAAAATGAAAAAAAAAAACGAAAGAATTAATCTTTGGAGTAGAACATATGAAAAACTTTAGAACACCATATCTTTGTTTGCACCAAACTGTAACATTTCAACGATTGTTTTTTTTAGGAAATTTCTTAAAATTCTAAATAAGCACATCAGCAAAAAATGTAGGTACTTTTTGAATTATTCAGAAAGCTAATTTTACCGCCCCTCGTAACTTTTTTTTCAGCTTATTTTCGTTGAAGTATGTTATGTAAATAAACTTAAAGGGTTTAGAAGGAGAAGACATAGGAAGAAACCAATTTTCATTGAAATCGGCACATTCGCTTAGGCACTATATTCTACACCAGGAGTTTCCAAACTAAGGCCCACAGCAGCTCGCGAAAGTTTCTTTGACTACATGGTAAAAATTTAAATTTAAAAATATGAAATTTAGCAAATTACTTACACACGAGGTTACTAAAACATTTATTGCCTATTTTTTGTTATTCTTTGTCAGCTCATTTTAGAGCTGAAGTGTCTTGTTTAAAAGGGATTTTTTTTTGTCAGAAGCCATGGCCCGCGGAACTAGGATGGGTATCTCAAAAGTTTGGAAACCCCTGAACTGTACCAACACACGCTCTTCGGCCGCCATCTTTAAATGAAAGGGCGGTTAATGATGTCGAGGCAGGACGATCATCATCGGGTGACATCTGATTTAGATTCCAAATCTGAAAAAAAATCGGTCCAGTTAGTCTCGGAGTTAAGTCCCGGACGGCGGACAGACATTTTTTTCAATTTGATTTTCGAGTTCTTCGTTTCCTAAAGTCTCAAATTTTGAGAGGCGACGTTAAGTTATTGATTTTTTTTTGTTCGATTACAGGTTTAAAACCTCTGAAATATCAACGAAGTACTGAACTAATTATCAATATTTTCCACAAAGTCCTTGTGGCTGGTGATTGGTGTCCAGAAGGGAGAGGGAGAGATTCCTAGCGCAAGTTGCGCCATCAAAATTTTTGAAGGGAGCATATTTTGACGGGTTTATGAAGGAAATTTCGATTATGAATTTTCAGACTAAGGGACAAGGATAAAACATGGAACATACGGCAGCAAATGTAAATTGTATGAATTTCTATGATTTCTCAAATTCTACCCTAGCTTGCTCTGTTACAATATCTAAGGAGGAGGAGGGGGTAAGTTCTTGCGCCATCGACCTTGTGGAGGATGGGCATTCCTTTGGTTGGTTTAGTTTTTTATTCGTTACAAAGTAGGAATTAAATAAGTCAAGGGTCTTTGCTCCTCCTATCCACATTACATCTGCTTCTAAAGTTATAAAGCTCTGAAAATATTTTTAATATTGTGTTTGTCTGTAATAAGCCTTTTCTGTATAGTTTGTTACAGACATAGTCAAAAGTCAATATAACAAACATTTCAACACGGAAAATGTCAACTTATGACATTTTAACGCAAATCAACATAGGTAAATTGTATTGCCTCAATAATTTGTCTTCTTGGTTGATAACATCGGACTATAATTGCGAAATCAATTTGTGAAGATCGACCAATCGGACAATACCTCCGCCTGTGTTGTTGTTAAGCAGGCTCACATTGATGAGGAAGAAACGATTTTTAATTTCAAAGAATTGCGGTATAATGCAGCTGTGTACCAGTACTGGTACCGCTGCTGCTGGAGAGAACTGTTGTTTCCAATCTCGTTGGGACTTCGCCGCCCCCCCTATCCCAGGACAGGTGCCCCATCATCCGGCCTCGGATGACGCGATGTGTGAACTCTTTCCGGACCGCTAAGGACTTCATTAGCTAATTAAGTCGATGCACGTCGGGCCGCCACTTCTGCTAACTTGAATAAAGAATCAGTCTGCAATATGCTTTGCCTCTGTCTACCGCTCGAGAATGTACTCGTAGCCTCATTAACTTATTATCGATTCAATCGTAACTTAATAATATAATTCCCGCCAGAGGTCCCCATCAGGGGGTTTATGCTAAGACTTTGAATTTTTGTGAGGGGCACATTTCGACAGGGATGCGAATTTTCGAATGTAAAGTTCCAAACCAGAAGACAAGGGGAAGCATGGAACACACCACAACAAGTGTGACTGTACATAATCTACGATTTTTTTAATTCTACTCTCGCTTGCACTGTTTTTAAAAAGAGGACATTAATAAAATATCTCGGGAGTTGTGGAGGAAGGTGTATGCCCCATCAACCATGAGGAAGGGGGAGATGGTCATCTCTCAATCTTTGTAGGTCCCTTTAAACCGCTGTCAAACTCCGCAGTTAGCATTGGTTAGAAATATATAAATAAAGCTACCTTACAGGCCATTTATAAGATACATAATAAAGTGTTTAATTTCAACAAGAGAGTGTCAACTCAAGCCATCTTGCGTGCTGATAGGCTTCCTATGGCTTTCAATTCCTTCATTTCACTATTATTGTTTTTTTCTTTGAGTAGTTAGCAAGCTTATTTATTATTAAAATGTCTTGTTTCTTCTTTTATAACTTTAGATTCGGATATAGGTAACTGAAAATTTTCTAAGATTCATAGCTAATAGCGTGAACTAAAGAAATGTTGTGCAAAAGTAAGCTTCCTGTTGTTTTGCCTCTAATTTAAACATGTTGGATCTTTCGTATCCTTCATTGTATTGTTTTTTTTCTATTTATTCGGGGTTACATTTTTTGAAACGTTGTGTGGAACCAAGCACAGGTTTAAAATAACTTAAAAGTTTTTGTAAATTACAGACATATTTTTTTAAATAATAAAATTCTCGATAAAATAGGGTCAGTATAACTTAATCGTCATTTTTATTGGATTCATAATTACCATTATTTAAAAGTTGATGATTATTTGAAATTTAATAAATTATTAAAACGTTTGATAATAAATGCTAGGGAGCGAGGCCTTTTTCGAAACACGATTTCCAACTTGGCAATGCCAAATAATTAACCACGCTTAAACAAGGGCGGATTAACGTGGGTGGGGAGTGGGAGCTTAAAATAGTAAAATATAAACACGTCTTATGAACAAATATTTTAAAAATTAACTCTAAAAGTATCATTCTTTGTGTAATTAATTAAATTTAATAAAATTAACGGCGAA